TTAAGGTGTAAATATTTTACTTCAATGTTATTTATATTTTAAGTTGTATACATTTTCATTTAGTAATAGTTGATGTTAATATTATTTATGTCCTACATATACTATTGAATAATATTGTAAATAAAATAAAAATAAGTTTCTGATATCAAAAAATGAGGTGAACTCATAGAGTTCACCTCATTAATATTATTAGAAAACTTAAAAACTGTCATAGGACAGTTTTTAAGTTTTCTAATAATATTTTATTATATAAGATACAGAGGATAATGACAATAATAAAATAAACATTATCGTCCCATCTTAACTGCTACACTCTTATACAAATAACGATCAAGTATCACAATTGAATTACTATCATAAAACAGATAAAAATATATATACTGTCTATAAAGATTCTAGTGTGGGAAGATCATTGGTTTTACAGCACATAATACATGTAATTAAAAATATCTTTAAAGATCACCCTGTATCATCTAAGATGCCGTATGGCTTTCGACCTTGGTGTAATAGGTTCGATGTCGGGTTGCGATACGATCAACATTAAACAACAGCTGTTGTTTTAATTGTATTTTTTTATTAATTGCTTGTCAAGTTTAGTTTGATTGGACAGTATTGGGATTATTTCCGCCATGTTAAGTTGACAAAATAGAAGACTTAAGTTTTCATTATCAGCGACATCTCTATCTAATCACTACATAGTATAAAACAAAGTCGCTATCCGCCGTCTGTCTGTCCCTATGTATGCTTAGGTCTTTAAAACTACGCACCGGATTTTAGTTCGGTTTTTTTTATAGATAGAGTGATTCTTAAGGAAGGTTTATATGTATAATACATGCATATTGCATATTGCACCCGTGCGAAGCCGGGGCGGGTCACTAGTTATTATATAACTGTAGAAATTCTGTACATTGAACATATTTAAAAAAATAATTGGCGTGTGTTACTACATCGATATAGAACCCAAAATTTAGTGGTTAGATTTTTGTCTGTCTGTATGTTTATGCGCGCATTACATGAAAACTACTAATCTAAATCGAATGCTGTTTTCACAGATGTATTAGTCGTCTTTCAACGTAACATCTGATGTGTAAAAAATGTCTGTCACCCATCTCTTTACCGGGCCAATAGGGCTGTGTATATATGTTACTCAATCTCGCCAAAACGGATTACAGGAGGCCCAATTACCCTCCCCTACCCCAATCTCCCCAATTCCTGAATCCCCAACGATCCTTAAACTCCTAATCCCTAAAAGGCCGGTAATGCACTTGTAACGCCTCTGGTGTTCCAGGTGTCCATGGGCGACGCCGATTGCTTACCATCAGGTGATCCGTCTGCTCGCTTGCCGGCTTATGCCATAAAAAAAACGGCTGAAGGTATTCGGGTTGAAATTTGGGACAGGAATAGATTATGGTGTGGAATAACACATAGGCTACTTTATATCCCTCGAACGCAAGCGAAGCCGGCGGCAGAAGGTAGTATAGACTGTGGTAGTACTATAATATGAAAGTTATATTCTGTATGATTGATATAATTATTATACAATAATATCAGCCTGGAACAGTTCGCTGTTGGATTATAGGCCTAAGCTTCTCACATAAGAGGATTTGCCTTCTATGAGTAATGGTCTATATTAAATTTTCTATTTATTGTGTCTATTTATTATCTACCAGTTGTTGCCCGCGACTTCGTCCGCGTAGAATATTAATTTGAGAATATACCTAACTTTTTTGTTTTTCAATTTTCCAATTTAAAAGTAGCCTATGGTACTCTTTAGTACCTACATCAGCTACCTGCCAATACAATTCGTGCAAAATCAGTCCAGCCATTCCAGAGACTAGCCAGTACAAACAGACAGACAGAAAAAAATTTAGATATGTGAATCGTATATATGTATATTAATATGCATGTAGTAAAAGGCGGTTATTATTATTACAAACAGACAGTACAGTTTTATTTATCTGTAAATAGACGAGATTTAAATGTATTGAGCCGGGTATGATCAGAGGTCACAACTAGTAAGGTACAGATGTGTGTTATCATCACGCCTAATATTCCTACGTTTGTAATAGGGTGCCAGCAATTTGCCGTAGAATATGTCTTTTTCTAGATATCAACATTCCTTCGTGGTTAGTAGCGCACAAATTAGCTTCTGCGAGAATTTTTAATAGCTGGAAAAGCCTATCTTAGCCTGCAATACTATGGTTTAATGCCGGGGCTCCGGTTCGAAGTGCAGGAGTTGGAACGGGGTGGTTTTTTGTTAGGAAGAGTTTGACACTTCTTCTCGCCTCACCTAGGCGGGAGCAGTCATTGGATGATTTTTGTATGAAAAACAGAAACCCGTAATAGGTACTGCGTGTCGGTTACCGCGCGCACCTCAATATTATCTAAACTATGTTGTACAATTGTAAGTTTTATATTATAAGTATACACTTTGAATACATTCTCATGTACCAATATGAAAATGTATTCTATTAATTAATTAAAATAAAAAATAATCAGTGGTACAAATCTTTGTTATGTTATTGTAGTTGTTATTGTCAAGATAAGGTTTGTGTAAAATGATAATTTGAAATATAATTACGGAAATAGGTAGTAGTAGTAAGGCACTATTTATACTTAGGTACTTAATAGATACAGAAAAAATAACGTTTAGTACATAAATATTATTAAAGTATTTGAACAACAGAACCAATAGTTCCCAATTTGCTGATTGAACTCAAAAAATTGGCACAGTTCATTAACATTCTAACGTATATCGATCACCGTCAGTCCTTCAACTTGGGGGATCGGCAGAACAAGCGGTTATACCACCGTCATAGATCATTGACAAACTATGAGCATTTCATCAAAACGCGTCACTTAGGAGTATTACAGATCTACCGGTGTTTAAGGACTATTTTAAGACTAAATACTAGTTCTAGAAAAAGTTGGAATTAGATACAATATGATTAAGAGCGCATTTGTTAAGACTGAGTAAGCTAAATAAATAGGATTTGCCGATCGGAAACAGGTCTCCAGAATACTACTTGTGAATTACCTTGTGAATATGAATGACCTAAAATTTTTCAAAATTGCAATTTATCTAAGAGCGTTGCTGCTTGACCTCTGTCTGATGTCTGTCTTACAAGACTCTCCAGACTTCAGCCGGTAACTACTCTGGAGTAGGTCTACGAGAGTCTGAGGACGCTTTTTTGTTTGTTTTATATAAGGGTCAAACACATGCAATAACTTCTTCCGACTTGGGTGTGTACCGCCGCCAGAGTGAGTACCAGATTCCTACTTCTGCTCTTCGAGCCGGAGCCCCGGCAACCCGTTAAGTCCTTCGCGGTGTCTGACGACGCTTACAGGTGATATGGTGGCTACCAGGGCGGTAAGAATTCTACACTCACTGGTCTTTCTCCCTAAAAAATCTAAGCGCCTTTTGAATGTTTCCAGCTTGCAGTAAAACAGTAGTGCTGACGGTGGTGACCGATACCGTTGAGAAGGTCAGAAAACCTATTATTCAGTATTGGACTGCCACAAGATATTGTTCTTGTTTCCACAAAAGAATCCAACACCTCTTATTAGTTTAGTTAACGGATGCCAACGATAATAATTTTACCAATTATTTAGTTAAAACAATAGCTGAGTCAGTAGATTTTACTTTACAATTATAGTCAATTAGTAATTACAATCAATTGTGTAATAGATCGCTTTGTGCTTCATCGTATAGATTTACTTATTTAGGTGACTGTGGGCGGTTTGGTTATATGGGTAGGCAGTGAGGTACCTACTTACTCTGTTGAATTGTTCGCTACCAATATGGGTATAAGAAAAAACCCAATAAATATATTATATTTTATTGTGTAACATTGAAAATCGAATACAGCTGTAGAGTAACTGTGGATTCGATTCCCCGAATCTGATTTTTTTAGCAATAGCTCTGAATATATCTTGTTTTATGGTAATAAGTTACTATAGGGTAATGAAACTGATAAAGAGTCTTGTGTTTGTGCTAATTAGTACCTGGTTTAACTATAAGTTCTGGTTTATTTTACAGATGATCTAGGATCCAAATCCTAGACCACATGTGCAGTCCTCTTTACACCAAAGCTATCTTGGTTACAACATACCGATATGGTACATACTGCCTACAGTAGCATACTTACAGCAGTTCCTGTAATAAAAAAATATACAAATCCATGGAGACGACTGAGCGATACATTTTATTTGTCAAACAAAGTAGGTAGTGAGTACGTGTTTTTTTGAAACTCAGTTACATTGCTTTTTGATTTACCTACGTAAATTGTCATAATAATTTTGATAAACACTTCACATTGCTTGTGATCTTTACCCAATTTAATTACTTATTCAATTACTAGAGATATATTAACTGACTCCTGATGTATAACCGATAGCAATTAGCTGCAGGAAAACATTTTAGTATCAGTATTTTTAGTGTACTCGTCCATTATTTAATACTTCATTATATTTTTGATTAATTGTTAAAAAGCAAGACATAATAATACCAGGTTCTTTATAAACTTCTTCTTTAGGATAAAACATCCTCTTTTTTGTGGGAGGAGTATCATTGAATAACTTCTCCCGCCTGGGTGAGGCGGGAGGGAGTGTCAGACTCTTACTGACTAAAAACCACCCCGTTTCTCCTCCTGCTCTTCAAGTTTGAGCCCCGACAACCCGTTACATCGTCCGCAACTCCGAATAAAGGTTTGCTATATAAAATGGTAAAGTGTAGGTAACGCCTACACTTTACAATAATTTCGGCTGCAGTTTTAGTTTTGTTTGTTCGTTTTAAATAAAAAGTACCAGTACTACCAGAAAAGAAATTAAAAAATGACTAGAATCCCCACCCACCATAAAAAAATACCAAAAAAAACATAACACAACACAACTCCACACCTTTTCATCGGTACCTAAGCTAGGAGTGGTCGTCCACGCACCGCTGGCGCTCATTCTCGAACGAAAACAGCTTGCTACCGAGCGTCCCTGTCAGACACAATATGTCCTTAGCAGAAGGCACTTCAGACAACGAGCACACAAGACAGGAGGAAGACCAGAACTCACAGACCCCCACTGGAACCAAGAAGAAGAACGATAAAAGACAGGTTAGTGGACTTTGTGAAATTTTTGGGGGCTATATTATGTGGTCGGTGTTTCTGGGTGTCTATTTGGGATCTGGAGTTATAAATAAAAACAGAAGTAATAATAAATTGTTTTTTTGGTGTTTTGTGATAGTTAAAAAATAGAATTTTACACGGCATATTTCTAAACAATTTCAGTTTTACGTTTTTCATTTTGTATTTAACTTATGCCAGTTACAGTTTATCTTAAACTTCTGAGTAGGTTTAGGAGCTTTTGGAGAAATACTATTGTCATAGTGTTCATTGTAAACAAATTGATAGTCAAACACAGGTTTATATTTTTTAAATTCATGTCATTTAGTTGAACTGAAATATAGACTCACCCCTAACTACACAAACACATAAGACTAGCGATTACATAATATGACCGGTATTTAAAACTCTTCTACCCTTTGTCGCGGAGAACCTAACGGGTAACCGGGGCTCCGGCTCGACGTGCAGGAGAAGGAACGGGGTGGTTTTTAGTCAGTAAGAGTCTGACACTCCCTTCCGCCTCACCCAGGCGGGAGCAGTCATTCGATGATTTTCCCCCCTTAAAAAAAATAAAAATAAAAAAAAACCCTTTGCATAATAAAGGGCGTAAAGTTATTAATGTTACACGGATAAATTAAAGTTTAAATTGGAAATGAGATAACATGCTTTCTTTTGTAATAATTTTTATGAGAATTTGGAATTTGGGATAGTGACTGTATTACATGGAGCATAGAAGTTCATGTCACTAGTAAAAGTGGTAGTTCTTTTTCTAGGTATTCTAGTATTAAGTAGTCTCTGTGTGCCCCTTCCGGGAATGAAATATAAAGTATAGTTATTAGCTACCGTGTCCCGTTAGGTATATCATGTTAAATTAGGATTATATAACTTCATAAAAGTAACGATGACTGCCTCGCTGGCCACTGCCGGGCAAGGGGTCTCTGGTTTGATTCCCAGGTCGAGCAAAGTATTAATAGGTTTTTAAAAAATTCTCAGTATTAGCACGGAGTCTGGAACTTTGCCCGGTATATGGCAATAGGCTCACACCCTATTACATGGGACTCATATCATAAATAGTGGAAAATGGGTATTACATTGTACATAATGTGCACTTCTGCCTACCCCTTCGGGAATAAAAGGCGTGATGTTATGTTATGTAAAAGTAACGATATCAGAGGTTCATCAGTAAATAAATAGTTGAAAATATATAAATAATAATAACAATTTAGTTACGTGTATTTTTCTATCATGGTTCATACCCCATATAGGTACACTAAATGACATGTTTCTTATATAAAAACTATCGTGAAACAACAAATATTAGTTAAAAATATACAGCTGTCTCACGTAAACAGAAAAGCTCTTCTAAAAGTTTCAAGTCATTACGGAAACTACCAAATGTATTTTTTAGTTCACGTAGTATTTTATGTACTAAATTAAATAAATATCATTAATTAGCAAAATATTTTAAAAAAGTAACACCACGCCTTTCATCCTCGAGTTGTAGGCTGAGGTGCACATTTGATGCCACTGTACAATGTAACACCCACTTTTCACTATTTATGTTATGAGTCCCATGTAATAGGAGGTGAGACTATTGCCATATACCGGGCACAGTTCCAGACTGCAGTATTGACAGTAGTAACTAACAGTAAAAAAGTAATTCTTTGCCCGACCCGGGAATCGAACCCGAGACGCCTTGTCCCAATCGCACTTGCGAATCGGCCAACGAGGCAGTGAAAATATAACCGTAAAATAAGTTACCTAAATGAAAACTAATGTTTATACTACAAAACAATTTATTACAATCTGTTCACAAACTTAAACTTAAAATTAAACAACACCATATTAGGAATTGTTTTATCAAAACTATCATAAAACGAATCTCAATAACAACCTATCATAATATCCTTACCTTTTTAATTAAAATCAATCATTCTCATAACGTACTCATATTCCTCATCCATATTCGTAGAAACCCAATTTTAACAAAAATCGTTAAACAATTGTCCAAATAAATAAATAGTGACCTCAAAGAATTAACCAATTAATGAGTAGTACCAATTAATACCATATTTGAACATATAGCGTCGTGGGACAAAATGGCAATTGATAGCAATTTGATCCATCTCTGCCCACCCACTTTTGGAACTACGTAATTATACAAGTTCGGTTTTGTTCGTAACGTCTCTTGTAATTGGAGCTACACCTACGCAATGTATTGCTAACTATACCATCAGCTTTTATTGTTGTGGCTTCTAGATTTATTATTTTGTTGCTGATTTAATTTGGTTTTTAAATTGGTTAAACATCACATAACATCACGCCTTAAGGGGTAGGCAGAGGTGCACATAACAATACTTAATGTACCACTCACTTTTCACTATTTATGTTATGATGAGTCCCATGTAATAGGGGGTGAGCCTATTGTCATATACCGGGCACAATTCCAGCCTCCGTGCTACTACTGAAAATCCCAGTAATACTTTGCCAGGCGCACATGCAACCACTCGGCCAATGAAACAGTCTTGGTTTATTTCTGTAGTGTTAAATAAATTGAATTAAAAATTATATTTCTTGAAGTAGCGATAGGTTAGGTTACCTACTCATATTAAGTGTTAGTGAGCATTATCTTATCGTCATAAGTGAATCCCTAAGGTTAAGTAGGTATACATTGGATCAAAGTATATTCTAATTCCAATTGTACGATAATATTGAGAATTCCGAATTTCCATCAACCCCAATTAATAGGCTCACCCCCTATTACATGGGAGTCATAACATAAATAGTGAAAAGTGGGTGTTACATTGTACAGTGGCATTAAGTGCCGTAATGTGCAACTCTGCCTACCCCGGCGGATAAAAGGCATGATCTTATGGTTATAGCCCTATCAATAACTTTGTCTAACTTGAGAATTGAACCGAAAACTGCGTTTCGAGCACTTGATCAACGAAGTAGAACTAACTACATTAAGTCTTTACTAAGTCCTTGATTTTAAAAAGGAGTGGGTCTCGAACCCGGGACCGTGCAGTAAATCACATCCGATGATAAATCTTACTGAAACTTTTGACAGCCGGAAACTAAAAGAACAATGCTACAATTAAGCTAGCAACATTTCTTGCGCGTACGCACCCTAGCCCCAGTGAAGCGGATCGCAATTATAGATCATTACTGTCGCAACACTATTCATGATATGTATTGTATTCTTATTAGTATTTTTCTTGATCGATTCATAAATCGATTTGAAATTGATGGGTCGACTCGAATTATAATCGAGTTAGAGTAACAAGTATGTTGAGGATAATCGTATGTTATTAGATACATCTTATGTTTAGTTATATTTAGGAATGCATATATAACATCACGCCTTTTATCTCCGAAGGGGTAAGCAGAGGTATTTTTTCCTCTCTCTCTCTTTGCTGTTAGTTTATTCTCCGTACCTTATTTTTCGCAGATTTTCTATTTAAACCCTAAGGTTGACTGGTAGAAAATGCCATATGGCATTAAGTCCGCCTTATGTGTCATATTAAAATTGTGTACATTAAAGATTAAATAAATAAAAAATAAATAAATAAATACGGCACTTAATGCCACTGTACAATGTAACATCCACCTTTCGCTATTTATGAGTCCCATGTTATTACATGGGACTATTGGTGGTGAGCCTATTGCCACATACCGGGCACAATTCCAGACTCTGTGTTACTACTGACATTTTTTTAATCCCATAATACTTTGCACGATCCGGGAATCGAGCTCGAGACCCCTTGCCCGGCAGTAGCACTTGCGACCACTCAGCCAACGAGGTAGTCTGATGTAGGAATATACTTTAATAAATATGCATAGGACCTAATACAGAGCCTTGAGGACTCCCAATACATTTTGATTTGCAATACGTATGTAATAATGTTTAGTAAAAATACCAAATTCCTTGCCAGATGTCAGACTCTTACATGTGGAAGGAACAGATCCATACTCTGATGAAGGGCGGAGAGAGTGAGTCCGATATCTCGGACTCCGAACACTTCCTCACTAAGGGCGCATTCCTCCTCACTCCCTCTCACGGCCTCAGCATGGAGAAAGCTTCGGCCATCTGCGAGAAAATGGAGTTCAAAGGGTGTTTCTCCCTCACGAAGACAGCCACTGGCATACTATTTAAATTCTCCAGCGTTGATGACTACCAGATGGTCTTCAAGAAAGGTTTCCATAAAGTAACTGGATCCAGGTTTTATAGGAAGGTAATTGGTTTGATATTTCTAAAATGTTTGCTTTTGAAAATGCTTTCTTCTGTAACTTGGCTTTCAACGCTTCCTTTCTTACTTTCTCTTTATTTATTTCTTCTAATTTTGATTCTCCTCTTCGCCCTTCTATTGTGCCTTCTTTTTTACGAAACAAAAGCTTGAATTATTCTGAAAAGCCAATTATTGTAGGTTCTTCGTTCTAATAACTATAATCTTAGTTAGTCAAGTGCTTCTTACGAAATTCTAAAAGTAACTGACACTTACATTGTGTTCATTTCCTTGCTATTTCAGATTGCAATCCCATGCAGGCCGCAGAAGACATTTACTATCTACGTGTATGACATTCCCGATGAGGTCCCCGAGGAAGACGTCCGCCACGCCCTCTACAAGTTCACCTCCGTCGTGGAAGTGGTCCGCCTTCACTTCTCCGGCTCCCCCAAGGATGGAAACACTGGTTGGTACAGCATAGGTATCAGTATCGCACCTTCCTTTATTAACTTTCGCGAGACATGTTGCTATGTTGGGTATGTCAGGCGCTACGTGAATAGGTTCCTTGACGTTTACTTTATTCATACACTATGATTTTAATAACCTATCCACTAATTGGATTTATCAACTTTTAGTGAAGCAACTGATAGGTAATGTATTTTTGTAGTAAATCTATAATCAACTTATACTGTGCATGCCCCTTTTCAAAATTTAATAACATGCATGCGCATGAAATTTACAACTGTTTTGATTGCCTAAGCAGGTTGTCAGTCGCGATATTGATAGTCACAAGTAACAAAAGTAGGTCTAGCATAGAGTTTGCAATTAAGTTTGTGTTCAATAACGAATTTACTACCTTATTACAAACTAATAACGAACATTTCAGTGTATCTTTTACTAATGTAGACCTTGTGTATCAACATCAATTTGTGAAAATATTTTACCACTCCTTCCAGGCAGCTCCACTCCTAAGCCGCTGGAGAAGACGAGCTCTCGTGCCCTCACGACCATTGATGGCGAGCTGGTCAGCAGTATGATCCCCAAGGAGGCTACCAGTGTGATCCGTGTCACACTCGCTAACATCGAGGAGGCCAACATTCTGCTGCAGAACGGCCTGGACTTCTACGGAGCCACGTTCTTTCCTACTGAGCTCGCGACGCCAGCCCAGGCTGCTAAGCTCATCAAGCCCAGCAGGTAATTGTTGAATTATTTCAATGAGAAGGTTTTTTTCCACGTGTTTGTTAAAACAAATAAATGTAATAGGCGCTTGCTAGGCTATTCTGCAACTTCGAATTCGAGAGATTGTAGTGAACTCGATCGTGGTCCGCCATTTGTCATTGGTTGTGAGAATAATCTCGACCAATGATGGGTGAGAATGCGATCGAACTCAATCGAGAGTTCGAAATAAGAGTTCCAGAATAGCCTGGCTGATGTGGTTCGCTTTGCTTTGTTATTAATTCTAATTTCTCTCTTTGTGGAGAAGGATTTCGAATTATATTCAATCGTAAAATGTATTGATCTCATTGATTGAGAACCTCACCAAAACATCCTACTTGCCAGTTGCATTTATTTTTGGCTACATCAAACTATTTTTTATGTTATGACGTGGACGCAAAATCTTTCTTTAAAAATATGTATATCCTTCACAATATTACTGAGCACAAGCACATATTTTAACAGAATGTTAAAGTTTGGTTGTCCCCAGGGTCACGGGGGGCACCGTCTCAGCCAGGGTCCGTGATCTTCTGCCAGTGTTCGACCAGCAAGGTTTCGCCAAGTTCGCCCCACCAGCATCGCGCCTGGTCAAGCCAAGATCCAAGTAGACGACCAGTACCTCGCCTGTCATTGCATGATATCTTACGAATCACTGCAAACTATGATTGCGCTTTCGTCAGAGTTCGCTTGCCAAGATCATTCTCAGAGCGCTCGCATCAGAATTTAAGCGAAAATTCTTATTTTTGTAGTAATTAATGTGTCTGACAGAATAATATGCAATGCAGGAGTTCAAATGGTAGAAACGCATTGGAAAAGGAAATCGAAACGAAATAAATAACAACATTAACATTTCATATTTAGGATGATTGTATTAATATCAACTAATAATGTACATAAACAAGTTTCAATATACAATGTATGATTTAATACAATCCATGTACTTCATCGTATGGAAAAGTACCGAAATGCATTTAATATTATATTTAACTTAACTAAATAATGTGCCATTACATAGACACTATTTTTTTAATCTGTTTTGTTACCATTTCGTAATAATAATGTTATTTTCTACAGTTTGCTGTTTATTTCAAATATTCCCAAACTCTTTGGTGGTTCACCCATAAATGTTTTTATTGAATTACCGATTACACGACAATTATTAAGTTTTTATCTTAAATAAATAATGGCTTTTACATAAGTAGCCGAACACTGGCGCCATCTAGCATCTATAGCTTTATAAAGAGTTAAATACTAATTCTAACATTTAAATATTCAATAATAATGTAGATTACAATAATAATATAAAAATATATTTGGAAAAGCACCATCAAACTTTGAATACAGATTACCTAGATAAGAAAATATTTTTCAACATTTTGTCTTCAACATGGAATGTTATAAAATCTCTCAAAATATCTCAATCATTCTCAGAATCAAGTAAATAAAGTATGAACATTATAAAATATGGATTACAGTTTTTAATTATCAAGAAATCACTTTATGTCTTTTGTAAATATCAAGATTAATGATCATAATATTTGATTAAGTTATACTTTCTTAGAGTAATTAATTATTTAGATACAATAGCAAAGATATAATATTTTCTAATTAAAATGACTACCTAAATATCACAGTCTTTATTAAATCGCTTAGAGCGAGCAGCACATTATATTTTGTACGTTGTTCGTCGTCCTAACTTAATGGCGTGGTCTTATAAATTATTAAGGCAATATAAATTCCAATATGTTATCTACACTTTTGGTCCTACAGCTCTCTTCCCGTTTTTGAATCTCTCCTCAATCTCTTGCAAACTCTTCCCTTTAGTTTCCGGCAGTATGAAGTACATCACTGCCGTGCCAATAAGAGCTATAACTCCATAACCGAGGAAAGTTACCACTTCACCAAAAGTGCTCATCAATCCTGGCGCAGTTTTGACAACAATGAAAAATGCTACAAAAGTCGTCGATGAACTTATGCCAGATCCCAAACCTCGAACTTTCGTCGGAAACACTTCTCCACACATAATCCAAGGCAACGGAACCAATCCTATAGATATAGCACAAATGTAGAACATTAGAAACATTAATGGCATCCATGACATATTTGCAGGCTTCCAATAAAGGAACATTGATAGGCCGACCATCGAGATCGAAGTCCAAATCCCGCTTATGAAACATAGAGGTCGCCTTCCATATTGTTTACATATTACACAAGCGACCACACTCATGACGACTCTCAATGAGTCTATAATTAACATGGCAAGGTAATGATCGATACCCTTCCCGACGGCCTTCTCAACAATCTCGATGGAATAAAATGCGACCGCGTTCACTCCAGAGAACTGACACGTGCAGAAGAACAAAATCATAATAACCAAAGGTTTGATCAGTTCAGGGCTCTTGAGGCTCACTAGTTTTTCCCTCCATGACATTATCGGTGCATTATCTAAAGCTTTTTTACTGTCAATGAGTCCTCTTAATTCCTTCTTTGCTTCCTCACCGTATCCTCTCAACCAGTAGAAAGCTTTAGCTCCATCTTCTATTCTACCTTGTGAAATTAACCAGGTTGGACTTTCTGGCACCAAGAATAGAAGCCCAGCGGTGATAACTGGGAATATGGCACAGATAGAAGCAGTCGTTTGCCAACTGAGGAATGTTCCTATGATGTGAGCAACTAATATTCCTAGTGCTATAGCTAATGATACTCCTGCAAGGAAAAATCCTCTGTATTTTGGTTCCGTAGTTTCGCCGATGTAGACAGGGATGAGGGGGCCAGATAGACCAGCGCATAGACCAGAGAAGAATCTGCCGATGAGCATGAGTCCGAGGTTGGAGGAGGTGGCAATGAGGATCCAGCCGAGTAGAAGAGGGACGCAGGTGATAAAGTGCGAGGTCTTCCTTCCAAACTTCTCCATCATCCAGCCGGAGACGAGACACCCTGGAGCCATCGGTAATGCTGCCATAGCCGCTGTAATTATAAATAGAGATGTTGAATTTTCAGAAAGTGAAAATAAAACTAATGTTTGAACATGCAAAGCAGTTTTTTTCCTTTAAGTTTTTTGATAACATAAATAGGAAAACTTCGAATAGGTATTTCAAACAATACAATTATGATAATTTAGCAAATGTGTTTGAAACATTGATGAAACTTTCCACAGAGAAATAAACATTGAAATTGGTGTTGTTTATGAAGATTAACAATAGAAAGAGAGTATTTTTAAACAATTTAATAGGTATTTTATTTTAATGTCTTGTTTTAATGACTGTAATGTATTACATTAATTTAAATAAATAAATAAATAGGAATTTTACCTATCCATGATGTGGTATCTTCATCCGAAGGTATGGGTCCAGGATTGTTTTTCAGTTGAGGCAAAAGAATTGCGGAGTATCCTGATGTCAAGCCACTGACGAAGGTCATGAGGATTGGAGCCGATGATGCCAAAGTCTGGAATGGACAATTATTTCTTAGATTAGGTGATGGAGATGGTGAAGAGTATTTAGAATTGTAAATACTTGTCATAACAACGAAGTGTCAGCATTTGTCAGAGAAATCTAGATTGTAGGTTCTAGCCTAGATAAAAATATATTGAAGAGGTTCAATGACTTGTCGATAGTAAGACGTAAATATAAAATGAAATTACCTGTTTCCATAACGGCGAGAAGCGGGCTACAGTTTGTGTCTCCGCTAGTAAAGTCGCTTCCTTCTTTTCAGAGCCAAGAGTTAATCCTAATGAGGAATTAGTCATCTGAATGTTCTGCAGATAGTGAGAACTTCTCCTAGAAAATCTCTTTTCTTCTTTTTTCTCATCTTCATTTTTATTATCATAAGTTTCTTTACCTAAATTTTCATTGCCTAGTTTGGTTCCATCGTTGGTTTCTTTATTTGCTACGAATTCATTTCCATCAGCTGGCTTGCCTGCATTAGTTTCAGATTCAACTTTATTTGCTTTATTATTATCACTTTGAGTATCATTTTCATCATTCTTATTAACTACTTCATTTTGCGCGTTACTATCTTCGGAATTGCTTGATGTGTCACTGAGCAGATCTTGTTCGTCAATTGTTTTACCTTGTGAATCTTTATCGTTTGCTCCTACCGCCATACTCGTTCTGTAAACAAAGATTGTAACATTAATAACAGTTATCAATTTACTGTCGAATGCATTGCCTATCAAGAAGTTTTTATCTGTCATTGTAAACGTATATATTTGTTTAATGTCTGTTATCTGAAGTGGTTGTCGTCTGCCGCGTCGTTGTTATAAAGCGATACTTGTTCTCTTATTCAATCTGTTTTGTAATAATAATGATGTCTTTGATTTCGATTGGCGATTAAATTCTTTTGGACAACTTATTGAGCAGATGGTAATATAGCAGCAAATATATTTTACAGACACACCATTTTAATAGATTTATTTTCATTTTTTAATTCGATTTGTGTTCTATTCAGTGATCGAATGTGACGTTGTCCATATAACCACGTACTTATTGGTTAATCAGATTTATAAACATTAAAACATTTCATACATTATTTGTTTACATTGCGTTAGAAACAGAGACTGTATTTGTACGGGACTTTCCGTGGCATTGGTTATTTTTTGGATTTATGTCGTTTAGCATCGTTTTTTTAACATACAGATATATATTTTTCACTGTATTGAAATATTTTATGATAGTAAACACGATTATTGTGAGAATTTGCACGTGGTAAGTAATTATTTGCATGAAAACAATGAGTGACGTGTCGTATGCGATGGAGAACGTGGTTAGATTTTTTATCGATAGGTGTTAAGTCGTTAATGGAGCAATTGTTTTTTTTATATTTACTATGTTTACAATGTAATGTTTCTTTTTTTTCTATGTTTTCTTCTGTGTCCTTTGGTGTGTTTGCATTATACCTGCAAACGACACAAAGCATTTTCAAAAAAAATATTTTGTCAAAGTCCATAGGTACTAGATACTATTTTAACTGGTTGAGTACCGTCATTATAGACTCAATTAAAGAACAATAGGTTGGAGGTTGCGGTCAACGGTGACCGCTCGGTGTTTGACAGTTAATGTCACTTTGGAATGCCAATATCAATAGAGGATTTTTATTCTAATTTAGGTAATTTCTACTAATGACCGCCCGACAAATTGTGAGTTAGAGAAAAGAGTGCATATAGCCAGTTGCCTACCGAACCATATGTACCTAATCGAATTCGGTAACCACAATGTATACTTTGTGATAAAAAATCTACAAAAAACCAGTCTAATTGTAATCGAGTTCAATTAAAGCATACTAATTGAGACACACCCGTCTAAACCTCGGTGTTACATGTCACATTCATTAACTTTTGTGTACATATATGGCTACACAATAACCAGTACATCATGGTCTCATTTTATATCATCTTTTCCTACATTCAATGGCCAGCTTATATTGGTTTCGTATACTTGTATGTGCTGCCGTGGTTACGTTACTAGGTGTCTGATAACAGAGGTCAAAGAGGTTATATGACGTTTTATTACATGTTTACAATATTATTAATAAACAATAATTGTTATTTTATAAAGTCCCGTGACTTTTATCGCTAAGCTCATTGGTTAATTGACGGCAGTTATTACAGTGATTGATGCATGGCACGCGTTCGATTATCGGATCATGTGTTTGTGAGAAAAACTGTCTAGTGATTGACACCTTTTTTGTATTGTCAGCTCTGCACGAGGCAGTTAGTTTTTCACATAGTTGCAAGCCTTTTCTTAAAGGAGTCGACAGAGGTGTTGTGGAGACATTTTTAAAGAATTGTATAATGAGTTTCATAAGCTGAGTGAAGGAGATCAATTCCTGTTTTTAACCACCCTCTCTTAAACTGCAGGGAATTCCAAAGCGATAGATGACACTTAAAGACATTTTAACAGTGGTTGGCGATATCAACCTATATGTCGCATCTTACAATAAGCGTTAGTTTAGTTGCTTCCTCACGTTAAGTGATAGTTTAGGAGTGGTTGGTGAAAAAGGCCATTTAAGTGATTCTTAGTTACGAAATCCTTTGCTTTCTTCAGATATCCTTGAATTTGTGTCCCCACGTGCCGACATATTTACGACAAATGAATAGTTTTTACATAAACATGAAATGCGTATCAATACAGATAATGGTGCATAATAATCTTATCTGATTAATATTCTCGTTTGAGAGTGCGAGTCTTAGCCTTCGCCTTGACTTTGGGAGTATGCCATAAAGAGGATGACTTATTCATAACCTCTGCACTAATAACCTTCATACTGCAAATATTATTTGATTTATTTTCATTCGCACTTGTAACGTCTCTGGTGTTCCGGGTGTCCATGGGCGACGCAGATTGCTTGCCATCAGGTGAACCGTCTGCCCGTTTGCCGGCTAATGGCATAAAAAAATATTAGATTTGATGAGAACATGCGTTATTACTAGATCGAATTGTAACTGTCTGAGTATTTCGGTAGGTACCTATTTATAAGCACACCAAGTTATGTATACCAGTTTATCATCAACTCGCTTTGTATGATCTTCCGGCGCATTCAAAGCTCAATTTATACTGGTTCGCATAGCTTGATATGTCGTCGTGTGTATACTTATTATAAATTCTAAGGAGTTGTTTTTTTTCCTTAACAACAGTTGAAAACAATTGAAAATCTTGATCCGCGATAAACCGAATCGAGTATAGAATACTAAATTGTATCTATTTTTGTAAACATAGCTAGATTTACGCGGTGACATAGTGTGGGAACTGACTTTGTGTATCAGCATCAAAGTATACCAATCTGTCCTGTACATTTAGGAGATTTCCTACCTTATTTGTTTGGGAATAAAGTTGCAAATGGACTAATGAACTTTGCCTGTTAAGTGTAGCTGATTGTGCTGTGTATTGTGCCTATGTTTGAAGGTAAAATATTCTGTACCATCGTTGTAATGGTACCGACTAACTGACGGTAGCTGTATCTAACTGTATGTTAAAAGTTCGATCGATAAGCTAAAACAGTATTAAGTATTTTTTTCTAGTTTAATAACCTTTTGTTCGTCGAAGGATACAATGTGAATACGTGTACCTAATACCACGACAAACGTATTAATATTATGTATGAGTGTGAGTATTTTTTGAAGGGTTAGGTTATATTACAAACGGTTAGGAACAATTACAACCTGAGAGTCTTCATGTCACCAGTGAATAAGTTAAGCTAATTTTATTATAACAGGACAAATGTTGGCTGAGTGGTCGCAAGTGCGACTACCGGGGAAGGGGTCTCGAGTTTAATTCCTGAGTCGAGCTAAGTATTACTGGGTTTCAAAAAAAATCTCAGTAGTAGCACGGAGTCTGGAGTTGTGCCCGGTATATAGCAATAGGCTCACCCCTTATTACATGGGACTCGAGACTCATAACATAAATAGTGAAAAGTGGGTGTTACATAGTACAGTGACATTAAGTGCCGTAACGTAATTGCCTACCCCTTTGAGGATAAAGTGCGTGATGTTATGGGGAGGGCGAAAAAACTTTTGCTGAGATATTGAAATTGAAAAACTTTTTAACCAAACATAAAGTGTCATTAGCGGTTATCATCACTCGAATAGGCGACAAGAAGGGACGTCCCCAATTCAGTTGACATATTTTAAATTTAAATAATCGTTGAGAGCGCGTTTGTACATTAAAAACGATATGATAGAAATTATAACATAGGTAGGTAACGGATATGAATCATAAAGTAGGCGTATCACAAACATTGTCATAACTGCGCCATATGTGTTCCAAACTCCTAATGTTTCGTGGAAAGTAATTGAAGTCATCTGTAGTGGACTGATGGTACATATAAATTGAGATGAGTTTGTTTCTAGTTTTTTTTTTAAATTGTTGCCCCACTCTAGGATTTTCCCCTGTGTCGTGGGTGCGTTTATAAACATACAAGTTCACATACACATGTCATGACACCCAGACCCGGCAACAATCTGTGGATCACACAGAGTTGTTCGATGCGAGAATCGAACCGGGACACATTGAGCGACAGCCAGTTGCCCAGCCACCACACCAAGCGTGTATTCTAGTTGGCTGATAGTTTACAAAATAAAAATGTTTTAAAATTAAAACTACGTTTAAAAAACCCTCTCTTTTTTGAAGTCAGTTAATTAATATCTATACTAAAACCTTTATGTGTTCCTATATGTGCAACAAACACTTTTCTGAAAACTCCATTAAAAATCGGTTCAGACAATTGCGAGACAATCGTCCACTGACATACACACAGGTTAAACTGAGAACCTCCTGTTTTAATGGCTTTACTTTAATACTTGGTACCTGTACCATGTACCATGAGCTGGTCTATGCAGAAGACCAGAAGACCGTCTTACATCATGGTGAACACCATGGATGGTTATAGGGAGATCGGACTTCCCTCGCTACGCTAGTCTCCCCAAAAGGTTAAATCCCATCAAAAATGTACCTTTTTTAATATTTCTGTGGTCAGCCTTTTACGAAATTTCATTTAAGTAAGGGATACCAAATGAGTGACATACCTATTATAAAAATTGGTCACTTATTAATTATTACCCTATTTAACTATTTGAAGTGTAAATGTCTGACTGACACCAATATTATTCACTGATATGCCTAGTTCATGTTGTGTTTCGATAATTACTTGTTGCCCTAAATTCCATGTACAGAGCAGACTTACAATTATTAAACATTTTACGTTTCTTTGCTCATGCGGCTCATACTGCTTAAATGTAGATAACAGAAACAAATGAAGAAGGTCTCTTTGCTGAATGGGTCAATTACCTGGATAGGTCAAAGATTTCCGAAATCAGTAGAAGGAGTATATAAATACTGCCTCGTTGGCCGAGTGGGCGCAAGTGCGACTGCTGGTCAAGAGGTCTCGGGTTCGATTCCCGGATCGGGCAAAGTATTACTGGGTTTTTAAAAATCTCAGTAGTAGCACGGAGTCTGGAAATGTGCCCGGTATATGGCAATAGGCTCACCCCCTATTACATGGGACTCATAACATAAATAGTGAAAAGTGGGTGTTACATTGTACAGTGGCATTAAGTGCCGTAATGTGCACCTCTGCCTACCCCTTCGGGGATAAAAAGGCGTGATGGTATGTTATGTTATGAGTATATAAATGTAGAATTTGGCACACTGTCTGGCTCGGCATATGCTCATACTTCAACAGTCCTTGAGTACTCCATTGCTGGACTTCTTTTATATGTGATGGGCCGACGTTTAGCCACTGTCTCGCTTGGCAAGCGATGAGGCGGTCTAGAATAGAGCACATCTGCCTATAGGCAACCTAATTACTCGAGGCTTGTGGATACCCAGTTTGTATCCTTCAGGAAATACACATTGATAAAGAATTCCCTTCTTCAGTATTTCACAAGTTTAGTGCGAGTGGGTGGGACGTGGGACTACATAAAAGTATTTGCCATAATTTTCCTTTGGCAGGTGAATTGAAGAAGGTTCCGAGGTTTATCAGACACTATCCTCTCCAACTTTTCAAATTTTATTTTCGCAAATTGACCGGATCCAGTCATATCCTACCATCTAATCATGATGCCAAAATGATAAGTATCTGAAGGTGTGGAATTAAGGCTATGGTACTTGTTATTTATATACTATACTTTCTCTTCGATTCCATGTTTCGTAACACATCAATTAATGGAGAATTTTAATTACTACTCACTGATCTTGTAAATGAATTTCCTGCGGATAGAATTTACTATGTCGGTAATATAAAGATGGCGGATAAAGAAACTTGTTTATATTATAACTTTCGTGAGACATACAAAATTAATTTATTACGTTTTTCGGCTTACTCACGTATGAGCTCTATATGAGCCCCTAGTAATGCTTGAAACTAGTCGAGTTCCTCGTTGAACAGTTACGTGAGTAAACTGAAAAATATAAGTTAGTATTTGTTATTCAGTAACAGTATTTGTTTCAAGACTAGTATCTAAGCGGTTTTTACTTCCGGGCGTCGGGGATCATAGGACGATCACCGGCCACCGTAAGCGCGGGCCTGCGGGCGGCGAGCATGGGTGGCTCCCCGTCCGACCAGAACCAGACCCAAGCGTACGGCGCGTCGCGTTCCGCGCGCGCCTCAAAGAACCATCAGACCACCACGGATGGGGCCCAATAGGGCTGATGCCGATACGGAGTCGCGGAGAACCTAATAACGGGTTACCGGGGCTCCGGCTCGAAGTGTAGGAGTAGGAACAGGGTGGTTTTTAGTCAGTAAGAGTCTGACATCCCTCCCGCCTTACTGAGGCAGAGGCGGCGAGAATCATTCGATAATTTTTGCCCTTGAAAAAGAGCTGTTTTTCTTAAAAAAATATTTTACCTTCTAACTATTTTCTTTTTTTAGTAAAAATGTCTCTTAAAGCCGTTGTAGAGAGTTCCCTATGACACTTTAGGTACAACCTTGATATAATGATTCATCATTCGTCAACAATAATCCTTATGAAACAGATTGTTTAAAGAACGATCGAGAATTATACACCTCAGCATGAGATGAAGTGCTAACGTTACTGATAAAAATGATTTATTTGCATTATTTATCAAACTGATTGTTAAAATTGGACGCAGTATCTTGGTCGGTTGCGTCAAAATAGGTAATACTGCGGGAGATATATTTCTTAATAATGTAACACTGTTGTAACATTATTGTGTAAACAAAGTAACTGTACAAAGCATTTACTTAAGAATCGGTTTTGGTTTTTATTTAGTGAAAGGGTAACTCTTAGTGGACTACGGACATTGTACAATATGTCACGATATCATAAAGCCTCACTAACTAATGCAATTTTATGGGACCTTAGTGTGGCTTGAAATTAGTTGAGTGTACTCGTCAAACAGTTACGGGATTAAGCTATATGGCTTAGTTAGCTGAATAAAAATGTACTTTACTAGATTATTGTCTGGTAAAGTATAGATATTATTATATTCGATACTGTTAATTAACCGACTTCAAAAAAGAAGACGGTTCTCAGTTTGTCCTGAATGTATGTATGTTTATGCGCGAATTTCTCGCGATTGGCTGATCCAATTTTGATGTGGTTTTCAGAAAACACTTAGGAAAAGGTTTTAATATATTAATTAACTGACTTCAAAAAAAGGGGGGTTGTAGTCGGTTTTTTAAACGTACTTTATAAATGAATTGTACCTCTAGACATTGATATAATTTTTTTATCATCAATTGTAATATTATTTATTTAACATTACAATTGCCGGGCAAGGGGTCTCCGGTTCGATTCCCGGGTCGGGCAAAGTATTACTGGGTTTTAAACAGAATCAGCACGGAGTCTGGAATTTTGCCCCGTATATGGCAATAGGTTTACCCCAAAATAGTGAAAAGTGGGTGTTACATTATTGTACAGTGGCATTAAGTGCCGTAATGTACACGTAATGTTATGATGTTATGTTATTTAACATTACCAATACTGAAGTATTCTCCATGACAACGCATTATGGAGACCCGTACGAAGGTCTCGACCTTTACAAACAGTTGCTAAGCAAAGAACTTTAAAAAAATACCGAAAGAAATGAGTTCATTGACTTCATATCTACGTATTTAAAATATCTACGAGTATGTGTCCACGTAGATACTTTTACGTGATTCATGACGTGTTTAGTCGTAGGTAGGTAGGTAGGTACTATTGATTTATTATGTAACTAAACAATATTGTGAACCTGATTGAAAAAGGAGGATACCTATGGAGTTTCTTACTCGTTCTTCTCCATAGGAATCTACGCCTTGGAATGAGCAACTAGCTTCACTTTTATTTTCTTTGTTGACGTTTAAAAGTGCATTCCGGGTCTAATTGAAATAAATGATTTTGACTTAGACTTTGTATAGTTATCTGGGTACTGAATTTTTTTTTACATGACAACACAGTTGATTCTGTGGCTGGGCAACCGGCTGCCGCGCAACGTGTCGCGGGTTTGATTCCCGCAAGGAACAACTCTTTGTGTGATCCACAAATTGTTGTTCCGGGTCTGGGTGTCATGTGTATGTGAACTTGTATGGTTGTAAACGCACCCACGACACAGGAGAACATCCTAGTGTGGGGCAACGATTAAGAAAAATTCCATGTATAATAAATACGAACTTTCCTTTTCTCTTGAATCTTCCAAGTGTGGGAGAGCCATGCTTCGGTTCGAATGGGCCGGCTCGACCGGAGTGATACCACTGCCTCACAGAAAACCGACGTGAAGCAACGCTTGCGTTGTGTTTCGTCGTCTGAGTGAGGTTAGCGGAGGCCCAATTACCTTCCCCTACCCCAATCTCCCCAATCCCTGAATTCCCAACGATCCTCAAACTCCTAATCCCCAAAAGGCCGGTAACGCCCTTGTAACGCCTCTGGTGTTCCAAGTGTCCATGAGCGACGCCGATGTGCTTACCATCAGGTGATCAGTCAGCTGGTTTACCGGCTTATGCCATAAAATAAAAATAAAATTTGAGTAAGTATGACTTTTGAGAATCTGGTATCCAATTCCCATTTTTCTTGGATTTTTATATATATGACCTCCAAAATAACTCGGAGTCATATTATATAGTTACTTGTATAGTAACTATGCTATGTAGTATCTAAAGATTTATTTTATTTTATCTAGTTTCCTACATAAGAAGAACCAGGAAATACTGTAGACGATACAAACATGATTTTTTGGTTTGGGAATCGAACTAGTGACGTTATCACTAATAACTTAGTCACAAGTGTTATCGATATATTTTAGCACTTTTGGCGTTAATTTGGTTTAGTCACAGTTTATAGATCTGGCCTAGATATTTTGGAAAATGATCTCAGTAAGAATTACCTAAGTAACATAGGTAATCATAACGTTATGCCTTTTAATCCACGAAACGGTAGCCAGAGGTGCATATAATAAGGTACATTGTATGTAACACCCACATTATTTCTCTATTTACATGTCCTATGTCCATAAGACGTGGTCCTGTTGTTATACATCAGACATTTTATTATAACGAAGAAATAATAAAAAATACTACGAGCAAATTGACTCCTCGACACTAACACTTCTCGCTAAACTACACATTGTCTCGTTGTAATAAATTCCACGTCACATACCAACTAACATACTTTCGCATTTAAAAATAAAAAGAGGGATTTCGTTTCAATGAACCGCGTGACCTTGGAGGACATGGCAACCTGCCAAAGTTTACGACTTACGAGTCACTAAACCAGTGGCTCCCAAACTTTATTTTTATATTTGATGGGCCGACGTTTGACCACTATCTCGGCTGGTGGTAAGCAGTGATTGGCCTACGATAGCGCACATCTGCCCATAAGCAACCTAGTCACTTGGGCCTTGAAGACACCCAGGTTATAGTTACCCTTCAGGAAACAGACTCTGGCAAAGAATTCCACTCCATAGCAGCACAAGGAAGCTTCGTGCTTGTGGGTAGAACATCTACCATGAATCGGTGATGCTTCGCCCATTGTTTTGTGGTATGATAATGGAAAGAACTAGGTCCTTTTCTTGGTCAAGACCACTTTTATTATGATAGTCAGAGTAAGCTGTACAGTGGCGTAACTGGTGGCAAGTCGGTAAATGTCACGGGTTCCCAGCTGGAAGAGCGTCCGTTCTTCAGACTACCTCAACTTCTTTGGTTTTTATTGGGAACGGGGGTCCATCTGATGAATTTGCCACGGGCCCGGATACAATTTTTAGGATACACCACTAGAATCGCTTAGAATATGTTGATACGACCTTCAAACCTTCAAGAAAAGGCCTTATTCCTTTTTAAAAGGCTGGCTAAGCACTGTGACTCTTCTGGTGTTATGGGAGTCTATGGGCGGCGCTGATCGCTTACCACCAGGCGATCTGTCTGCTTGTGGCAAACAAGCTATCCTATTCCATAAACATGTTTCTATACTAAGATTTTCTCGAGAGTGGGGTTCAATAAGAATAGTGACTTCTTTGACATAAGTTTAATCCAAGCTTTAACCGCGGAATTTATTGAATAAAGCAGTAGTCTCATGTATGTTTTTCATTTTACGAACCATATTTTGCCTCCTGAAGACCACCAGTTGGGAACCACTGCTCTAGACGGATGAACACAGAGTACTGATGTATGCGGACGTCAAAACAGCTGTTCCGATATGTTTTTAAACTAATTCTTATTGTTTGAATGAGTATACGTCAGTGTTTTGGGTGTAACTGTGCGTAATATTGCGCCTGTTGTTTGATAAAGGGGTAAGTTAAGAAGCAAATATAACCTCACACGTAGTTTTAGTTAGTTAAATCACGTGTGTT